TCCAGCTTCAGCTGCATTTATTTTCTCCTTCTATGTCACCTCTCTTGTACTTCCCTTAAAACAGTCTCCTTCTTGCCTTCATCAGGCACCACAATGTCTTTGGAAAAGCCACTCTCCACACCTGATCTACTACAACTGCAAAGACAAACTTTTATGCCACGTTGCATTAATCCTCTCCTACTTCTCAAGCTCAGTAAAGTTTTTAACTCACACTAAAAAAATTTTTTTAGAAAACACAAAACCAAAAAACAAAACAACCAAAAACAAAAACAAAGCCAAAGCTGTCTGCATCCTTTACAAAAGAGGGTAAATAAACTCCAGTGTTGAAACTGGCTACTTGGGGGCACTGGAGTCTGTCCATGCATATCCACTTGCAAGATCCAAGTGCTCCCAGGCTTTCTATTAAGCACAGTGCTATCAAATAATATTCTTTAATATTATATAAAATATGGAACTATATCCTAAAATCCCATCCTAGGGTCTGGTTCTGATTACTCAGGGCCAAGTGTCCAACTGTCACATTGAAAAATGGTACATTTAAAATACATACATCAGAACGAAAAGTTGAGAAAAGCATGGGCAAAAATATTCCATGTAATTGGAGGAGGGAAATCAATTTGAAAAGCTTTTCTGAAAAATAAAGGCTCCTAAAACCAATCCAGAGATTCAGAAATACAGCTTTTAAAACCTGTCACCAGCAGAATAGGTCTGGAGCCAGGAAAGAACTAACACTGATGACATCACCCTTTACCTACAGAAAAACAGACCACAAAACAGGGGAAAGTCTGCCATGCCCAAGGGCTGGTGGTGGAGCCCCAGTCTGTTCAGGTAAGCCCTGCCTCCAGGCTTTAGCCTCCTGCCAGCATGGGTTGTGTGGAACAGGTACAGGAGAAAAAGCCCAGAGGTTAAAGCAGAGGAGAGGGCTCAGGGCTGGAGTATAAGGCTGAGAAGCAGCTTGGTATAGCAGGCATTATGGAAGGGAGACCTGGCTGTGGGCTGATGGAGTTGGAAGAGATTCACTGGGAGAGAATCCTCATTTACAGTGACATTCTGGAACTTTCCTGGAACCCTGCAGACTGTCCAGCAAGCCAGCAAGGCAGAGGAGCAGCAGTGGAAGTTCTCTGCCTGAGATGAGAAAAATACCCCAGCACAATGCAAAGGGAAGCCAGGTGCGAGGGCTGCTGCACACACAGCTCTGGTTTTCCATGTTCCATACTCAGCTTTCCCCATGACTTCTGCAGTCATCACACTTAAGAATGTGATTAGCCCCAAGAAAGGGGTTAAAGAGCTGATCTTGTAATATCTTTAGAGTCAAAGTAGCAAGACTAAACTGTTTCTTAATCACAATGAGAGCCTTAAATAACTCACATATTAAAAGCAACATTCTCATCACCACGTTCCAATGCAAGATAAATAAAAAATAATCAAATAATCAAGCAAAAACAAATACACATATGTAATTATTCTGATACATGTATTAATCCTGAATTGTTAATGCCTCCAAAAAAATCAAAACAAAATGCAATTTCAAAGGGGTTGTTTATTTACAGAGAGCTGCACTTTACAAGGAAAAAACCTAAAGATTTAGACCCTCAGTGACTACCACTGTTCCACACATCCTAGAAGCACTTCAGATTTTCACGTAGGTTTTCTAAAAGACAGGCAGCTGCCTAAAACTCAGTGCAAGAAAAAGAGCTCAAGTTCATCTGTCATTTTAACTGAAAACAGCCTGTTTCTTGGATTTTAAATTTTGGAAGGATGAGGAGGTGTGGAGCTGAATAATGCATTCCATTACCAAACTCCATGAGCAGTAGCTACCAAATAAATAGATTTATATGTAAAAAGTATATTTGAAGTCGTTACTATCAAAGTAGCTTCTCCCATTAGTCAGCAGCCCTGAAGAAACAAGATTTGATAAAATATCTGTCATTGTTTCACATGTATATTTACTACATGGAAAAGGTTTAGGAGTTTTGGGACAGACTTTTCTCCCCAAGTATCAACTAACTAAACATTCAAATGACAAATTCTATTATTATTCATGGCAGTATTTAATCATAAGGAACAACTTTATCAATGCAAAACAGAGAGTTGGAAAACACACAGGAATGAGCTCCAACAAAAGAATCTCTGGGATCATTCCTTGCACTTTCTTGCCACCAGAAAGCTGTTAAGCTCCCAGGCACTAACTCCCAGGACATTTTTGACCAGGAAAGGGCCAGTGCCATGCAAATGTGTTGAAGCCCAGGGCCAGGTTCCAGTTCCCTGGTTACAACATCTTTGAGATTACTGCCCAGTGGGAAAAGCAGCTCCAGAACTTGTTGAGATACAGAAGCTTCAGAAGACAGATGCCCTAAGAAAAGTTGAGCTTCCTGCTGGCCCTCTCTGACCTTGTTTTCACCTTCCCAGCAGTTTTCCTTACAGGCCATACACAGGACTCTCCACAGCAATGGCACCTTAAGGTTTCTCAGCAGCCAAGCCAGCACAAGGAACTGGTGCCTCTGATCCTGGCTGCTTGCTCCCCTCCAGGCTGCAGGTTCCAAATGTGCAACAGTACCAGTGCTTGCACCTAGTTTAATACCACAGAAGCAGGCTTAGAGGGTAGTAAAGAATTACTTTTTCAACGCTTCTATCTTTCATGATGTTAGCATGGTGTCCAGACACACCTCCACAAAGAATAAGGTCTCAAACAAGTATTTATTTTCCTTATGAGATGTTAACAATTTATCAAAAGGACTTCTAAAATGGGATCAGATGCTTTATTCCTTGAGAACTCATCTTTCATTCTTATTCCAGGAATATAAACTGAGGCCACTAATACAAGAGTACCTGACATTACACTTTAAGGATATAATTTTATTCAAATTCAAGTCACTGTAATCTTGCCTTCTGCTTTTGCCAGAAAGATACTAAACCCTGACAACTTTTGAGATCCAACAAAAGAACCCTGCAAGGTGCTCCTGACTACTATAGCTAATGTAAAATAACAGTGGGCAAGACTTTTCTCATCTTCTTAAAACAGCAATCTCCATAAGGGATGGCTAGAATTCTTATTCACCAGAATAAGAAACAAGCCCCAAATCCTTTCAAAACCAGATTTATACAGAGATACATGTATAGACAGGCATCTTACTTAAATCATTGCTCCAGCACTCACTAGATTGAGATCATAAAAGGCACACCAGTTATCTGCTAAACAGCGATGTCCCAGAATATTTGTTTTAATAAAAGGACCAATTTTATTTTAAAACTTGGATCTAGCACATCCAGAAAAGGCCAAGATGAACGGCTCTCATTGCAATTATATAACTACATAGTATTTTTAAAGACACAGGTGGGAAAGATGGTAAAATATTTGTGTGCCATGTAAATAAATTGTAACAGGCATATTTGCAGATGTTCCCCTCTTGTCCAGCGTCTGAAAAACTGAAACTTGTGGAAAAGCAGCTCATGACCAGAAACAGCCAAGCAACCTAATCTACACAAATGCACATTTCCAGATTACTTTCCAAAGCCTGATCCTTGCAAATTTAACCTTCAGACCAACACCAGCTGTGTGCAGAAGAAAGTTTCAGGCCTCTCAATCAATTATTTGTTCTGCACAAGCAAGAAATCAGTTCTGAGGTCAAGTTACCAACCAGATTACATTAAAAGAGTTATTTTAAAAAGAAATACAATGCAATTAAAGTTAGCTTGGCACTTTGATTGCTTTTTTAAAATAGAAACTTTCTGCATTTTTACAATGCTGAGCTGCGAGAAGCCTGCCTATACAGGATGTCCCTCTGGGAGCTGCTAAAACCAGGACTGCAAGAGGACTCAGAGGAACCTCTTCCTACAAATAAGGCATAAATTATTCCTATAGCCACGATGTCCCCTTGGCAAACAGAGATCACTTGTATAAGCTACAGCAGTGTCATTAACTCACCAAAAGACTGAAAACAAAACAAAGATTTAAGAGCCCTCAGCAAGGTAATACAAAAGGCCTGGTATTAACATGGCACTCCCATAATGAAAGGAAATGTTTCCTTAAGAAAAGGTGGTTCCTCGAGAATTTAAGTGATAGATTTTTAATAAAACAATTCTAAAAAACAGTTGTAAATAAAATAACAGAAAGTTGTAAATATTTACACCATTGGTTTTCTTTTTCGTTTGTTTGTTAGATGTCATTGTATTTGAGAAAAGACTGATAGCTTTATTAGATCTAGGAAACAAGTATCAAAACAAAATTGAGACACACCCAAACATAATCAATTCATGAACACCACACGGCAAACCCACCACTGTTCTATAGCACATTTTCAAACTGTCATTCAGGTAATCAATTACCAGGCACTTCTTTTTCCTCTTTTAAGCCCAGGAACTTTGGCCGAGCGGAGTGGATCTGCCAGATGCCAGCAGTACAACAGCTGGTGGAAGTGCTCCCGCAGCTCCTCTTTCTAAAAATGTTCAATTTGGTTCACGACATCCCACGACAGCAATATAACAAAATCAAATCCCTCCTAAACTGAGCCAGTCTGCCGGCAGAAAGCATCGAAGAATTTAGGAACAACTTTAAAGCCGGTATAAAAATTTGTTTATTCTAAAAGTAGAATTTCCTTGGCAAATTAGTGCTGCCTTCATCGGGAATTCCAATCGCTGTACTTTACATAAAGCTCCATCGGAACCGGGAGGAAGTAAATTTGAAAAAGGGTTATACTGAGAAACGTTCCTTGAAATAAACTGGAGGTCTCAGCCAGAGACACCCAGCCCCGCACAGGCACCCGCCCGCAGCCGAGCAGCGCAATTTACTTTCCCACCGCAACGAGGGGGACTCGGCAACGAGGGTGGGGCCTAAACCCTACTGGGAAAAAATCTCCGGAAACTGAGCGGCCACCGGGGGAGGAGTGAGATAAAACAAAAACCGGGGAAAGGCCGCGGCGCCCTGCGCTGCCCGTGCCCCCGCCCGGGGCGCGCAAAACCCCGCGGCCGCGCACGCCCCGGCCCCAGCGGCTCCCGCGTACCTGCACTTCGGAGAGTGTCGATGCTCTGCGAGCGGGCGGCGAGGTCGGCCACAGCCTGCGCGAACTGCGACCGGGCGCGCTGGTACTGCTCGAACACTGCGGGCGGCAGCGCCGGGGCGCCGGGTCAGCGGGCGGGCGGGCGCCGCGCCAGCCCCGCTCCCCCGGCCCCGGCCCCGGCCCCGGCCCTGGCCCTGGCCCTGGCCCCGGCACCCGGCCCCCGGCCCAGCCTACCTTGCAGGACCTGCCGCTGGCTCATGGCGGCGCCGGGCGGGCTCCGCGCCCGCGGGGATTTCCGCGCTATGGACGCGTCTCCCCGGCAACCGGGCGGAAGCGGAGCCGCCGGGGGCGGGGCCTCGGCAGTGACGTTGGCGCGCCCGCCCGCCGCGCCCGGTCCCGCTCCGCCCCGCGGGCTCCGCGCGCCGCGCTCGGGCCGTGCCCGCGGGACGGGACGGGACGGGAGGAGCGGCGGCTGTGCCTGGCGGGCTGTGCCCGGCTGGCCGTGCCCGGCGGGCTGTACCCGGCACCGGCCCGCACGCGTGTGTCACTTGCTCGCTGCCGGCTCAGGTGTGGGGATCGGCACCTACAGAGGCTCGCGGGGGCGGGCGGACCGGCAGCTCCGCGGAGAGGGGAGCGCCGCTGTGTCACGTCTGTAGCACAAGCACACGGCACAGCATCTGCGGGACGGTATCAGCACGACGTGACATGGAAACCCGTACAGCCACTGTGCGCACTCCCCTCTCACCGGCGGGCAGTGCCGCTCCCGGGGCCGCTGGGGAAGGATGGGGGCGGGCAGGGAAGGCGCAGCGCCCGCGGGACGGCGCCGGGCTCCGCGCAGGGACGTGTCCGGGCCACAGCCGCGGCGCGTCGCCGAGTCCCGCGCGGCGGAGGCTGGCGGGGAGGTGTCAGACGGCCGGACCGGAGCCTGTCCGCCCCCGCTGACATTCGGGAGCGGCGCCGCGGCCGCCCCGCCGGTGCGTATCGGTGGGACGCGCTGCTCCCCCGGCAGCCCGTCCCTTGTCCTGCTCCGCTGCTGCGCAACTTGCCAAAGGCTCGGCCGGCAGACGGGGAGAGGCTCGCCGCTCTCGCGAAATCCAGCGCATCATCTCCCGGCAGAGAGAGGGTCCACCTGCTTGGCTCCCGCTTCCCTCCACTCCCTGGGAGCGGAGGGAAAATAAAAACTAAATAAGAAAAATAAGGACAGCTCCAAGCTGCTCGCCCCCCGCCGCGCCTTTATTCTTCGTGGTGTCCTTTGATTTTAGATTTTTCTTTTCTGTCTCACCACCGACGCGATTCCTCCACGGGGATCTCCGCTCTTGCCTTCGCCGCCGCGACGACCCACGCAGGGGTTTTTGCGCCTCATGGGGAATAAACTTGTCCCGCGCAAGGCCGCGGAGCGCGGCGGCGCCGGGGCGGTGTGGGCAGCGCGGACGCGCAGGGGCGAGCCCGTGGGCTGCAGCCTCCGCCGGGAGCCACGGGAGCGCGGCACAAGAAGCGCCGTGCCCCGCTGGAGGAAAGGCTTTTCTCAGACGATACAGAGCGCAGTGAATGATGCCCGAGCGCACCCATCCGCGCAACACTCGCGCAGCGGCAGCTCCCCGCCCCGCTCGGCCGCAGGTGGCCCGGAGCAGCATCCGCTCTCTCGGTGCGGCGGGAGCAGCGCGGGAAGGGGCACGGTGGGGAAGGAAGCTCCGGCAGCAGCCCTCTGGCTCTGCCTGGCACAGACACAAGTCATTCCTGTGCACTATCATGGGGGTGGGGAGGGAGGGTATTTTTTTTTTTCCACCAGCGTATCATTCTGGTAGATAACCTCCCACTGCCTTCCACTTTTTCCCATCTTGGTGGGGCCATAAGGACTAATTACGAATAATTCTCTTCATTACTGGTTGGAAAAGACATGGTGGAATCTACGAGTAAACACAACCTTGGAGGTCTGTATAGCAGCTAGTGCAAACGGTGGAACTGGAAAATGAAATCAGTATTATTAGGGTTTGAAGAGAAATAGACTCTACATCTCCCCCAGTATCTTTTGAGGGCGATTCCCAAGACGCAGGATACTTGTGAACGAAGGTAATAGTTAGCTCTGATATCGATCAGGCTGTTCCAAGTGAAATTGTGATCCACAACAGAAAATCAGACTTAATAGTCAATAAAGAATGTCGCTTTCTGTAGCCACATATTACTGCACAGTGCCTTCAAGATTTCATAGGCAGGTTATTTGTCCTGAAAAGCTGCAAATGTACAAAAATCAGACGACTGACACTATATAAACATATTATCTGCTAGGTAACATAAAGTTTTGTCTCATACCTTAAAGTTGGAATGCTGAAGGTACTTCAACTGCCTTTTTAAAGTTTAGAAAAGTGTAAGAGAGACGTCTGAATTTTTTAAAACTCCTGTCTGTGTTTGCTCAGCTGAAAAAAGGGGGGCTAACATACACAATATCATGGTCTAAAATGAGCTACATGTTTCCAAGAGTATTTAGTGCGGGGAAAAAAAAATCTCTTTAAGCAAACAAATTAAACAGGTGGTGTGCTATCCTTTACAAATAAAGGAGACAAATAAAATCAGATTGCTGAGAAGGTCGTTTGCCACAGAAAATATTTTGGGAAATTATCACCATGTGTACTTGAGAAGGGAACAGCTGTTAAACACATTTCTTTATACTTATTTCTGTTCCTAAGTTAAATAAAAAATAAACAAATGGTGATTAATTACTTCCAGAGGTTAAAAAAAAAAAAGCAGATGTGTCGATTAGAGATAAATTGATTTATCTGTCTAATTAAGTCTAATGTTTGGATAAGGAACAACAAAACGCACCCTGAGTGCCACCAAGACTTGCTGTTACACTTCGTTGCTTGATACTAAGTCTGTCCGCATGGTTAATAATAATAATGAGGAATAAACATCATGCAAATGCGGTCTACGGAAATGTCACCGGTTCTCGCAAAAGTACTGAAGACGGAAAATCATTTATGGAAATGACGTAGTTGTGAGACTTCATTGCCTACTGCTGGGGTGCTCATTAGTAGGAAACCTGTATCCTTAAGCGGGTGGTGTTAGTAATGACTGCGTTACCGCACACGTCAGCTTAAAAAATAAACCGGAGACCAGGGGAATAGGCAACAGTTACCTAAATGAATAATGTGCCTTCGCTTTCTGGTGGGTGTTCTTTAATCTCAGACTTTGATTCACTCGGAAATACGCCCGGAACGTGGCGGGGGAGCATCATTTTGCCCAAGACGCAGAAGGGCGAAGTTGCTCCTGGGATTTTTTTGGGGGGTGAGGCGTGCCGAGGGCGTGGGTTTGCCCGGCTCGGTCTCGTCCCCGCGGGTGCGAGGCAACAGGTGACAGCTCCGGGAGCTGTCGGGTGCCCCCGGCTGGAAGGGCGCTGGGTGGCCGGTCCAGGATCGGGCTCTCCGCCCCTCGACGGCTCACGCCCCGCTGAGCCCCGGCTGCCCAAGCCGCGGATGTTCCACCACGGCTTAAAACTGCCCGACGCCCATCCAAAGGTGAGATCTTCCCGTGCCTCGGTGCCGCGGCTTCCCCAGCGGCTCGGGAGGCCCCCGGGACAGCCCGCCGGGGCTGCGGCTCACCCGGGCTGTCCCCGGACCGCCCCCGGCCGCCCCCCGCGCCCGTCGGCGGGCGCTGGGTCACCCCATCTGCCGCTGGAGGGTCTGCTCCTCCTGCCACACGCCCGGCAAATTGTTCAAGGCGTTGAGGAGATACTCATAGGGTTACAGAAATTACGGGGTTTAATCCCGTATTTGCACCACTCAGCTCATTTGGTGGGAAGAGCAACGCGCAAACTCTCCCACGGATCGGAATTGGACGTGCTGCGTTTTTAAAAGCCAGGAGTTTGAACCTGGAAAGATTAGTGGGAGTGAATGGGATGTAGGCAACTGAAGTGCACTCTCGAAAAGAGTACACTGAGTGAAGACTCCCCAACTCCAAGTATAGCCTCTACTAAGATTAATTTGGATCCTTAAATAGTTTATTTTTCAAATTTAAGTTGGACTGTGCCAGTACCTGATTTTAGCAGAAACTCTGTCAGAGAGACCGTAGGAATGGAGAGCTCTCTCTTTTTTCACTCTGAGCTTTGGCTCGGGGCTACAGGGACTCACGGCATTCTAGGGTCCCCTCTCCGGATTTTCGGTGGCGAGTTTAGTTTGTAAGACCTTCCTATAGAGTAAATTATTTCTGTGAGGCGAAGACAGAAACGTCGAGGCACTTCAGACGCGCTAGAAAGAGGACTTCTCTTTTTTCTTCACCCAAGAGGACGACGCTGGCATTTGAACAGATATTTATAACAACTGTAATCGTGTAAACGGTACAGATTTGGCTAGTGGCACCAATTTGGGGATTGGTGCATCACCAGTACAATCGGAAAGGCTGAATAATAATTTTAAGAGATAAATAAACCGGAAAATGGCAAAACATGTCAGGCTGACTTGCAGGATGGGACCAGGAAATATTAGCTGGTAGGGCTGAACCCTTTTCACCACGCGCATATGGTTACACCTCTGGTTTCCTGCGGAACCGTCAGCGCCTGTGCAGTGCCATTAAAAAAAAAATATTTTTGGGACGTTCCAAAACTGAAAGCCGGAGCTTAATTTATTCTGGGGACTTGAAAGGAGCGAGGTCTTCCTTTGTGTCTGATGCTCCGGGGGAGGGTGTGCGTTGGCTTGGTGGTGAACGCTGCCCGCATCTACATATGTAAACCCAGCAGCGCTTCTCCCCCCCGCGCCGGTCGGATTGCAGCTCTCAACAAAGCTACCACACAATGCGAAATGCGCGGAGCCTGCGCGGCTGCGGCTGAAAGCCAGTATTTAGCTCTTGATGTGGAAGGACCAAATCTGCGCGGTGCCCAGCGGAGCCCGCAGCGCGCCCCGAGGCCGTCCCGTCCTCCTGCGCCGTTATTGTCCCTGGCTGCTGTGCTTAGAGGGGTGGGGACAGGCAGCAGCCAGACGACCGTATCCCGGTTTGCAGAAGAAGGTGTAACGAGAGGCGCTGGCAGCAGCAAAGGCTGCAAATCGCTGTCGTGTGGTTGCTATTAGCAACAAATCAGCTGAACAGCCTGCAAACCCCGAGCACCTAGGGCGGAGGTGGCAGGGAGAGCGCCGGGGCTGGGAAGGCTGGGGTTGATGGGCACTTTCCCGAGGGGACCTCCGGTGCCGCCCCGAGCTGCCTCCCTGCCCAGCCGAGGAGGGGCAGGGCAAGGGCAGACGCTGCCACCGCCGCGCACTGAGCTCCAGGAGA